CACACGTCAGGTTCAAGTACACTATCTGACAGGTACAATGAAATGTGAACAGGCTTCACTGCATTACAGTTATTGTAATCATTGTGAGTCAGGAATGGAAACAGTAAAAAGGCAAAAAAGGGGGTGTCATGCTTTAGGAACTGAGCAGAGAAGCAGAGTTTCTCTGTGGGTAGGAGCAGCTGAGGTGCAGTGTGGGCCACTCGTACTGAAGTACGATATGAAGTTCATATCAAACTTTTTATGTGTTCAGTCATTCAAATACATCTCTAATAAATCATCTCTCAGATGGCAGAAGCCCCCTTTTTTGGCTGCATTACCATAAACTGGCTTTCTTAAACAAACATCTTGAAGAAATTGAGGTGTCTATGTGAAGAGTCAGCTACAAAAAGGATGGAACAAATAGTTTTGGGTGGTGGCGTTTCTGAATGCTAAATGCACAGACACAGAAAATAAGTTAAAGAATGGCTTAACTCACATAACAGAACCAGGACAATGACCTGCAGGAAGCAATGTCACCACAACCTCTTCTTTCTGTCACACAAAAAGCAAACAAGATGGTTAAAAAATGCTGCTACACCTATATGTTCGACTGGAGGCTACTTTAAAAAAACAAAAGGAAACGGTGGACCTGTTGGAAAGGGATGAAGGAATGGAGGTAAATGCTGAATATTTGGTTGTGGATCAGTGGAAGGAGGAACTGGATTTCAAAGGAGAAAGGAAAAGACAGCAAAAGGAGTTGGGGAAGAGAGAAGGATAAGTAAAGAGCAAAAGTTAAAACACATAAAGTAGAAGGTTAAGATATTTAGTAAGTAAGGATAATCATAAGATGATTTATGTGTATTTTGTTTACAATAAGTAGTGTTCAGATGTGTAAAGTTAAAATGAGAAATGACTGTATTGAGATATTAAAAGTAATTTTACATTTAGAGTGAAAATGTTTAACTACAGAAGAGAGGACCAAATGAGGGACAAACCAACACTGTATGGTTAAAAAGTGCTGCTACACCTATATGTTCGACTGGAGGCTACTTTAAAAAAAGCAAAAGAAAGCACAGTCAGACTCAAAATGATGACCTGTTGTCTACTATGTGAACCTATGTGATACTGAGCCATTAGAAACGCAACTATCCAAATTTAATTAAAGAAAAAATTAGGAAATAAACAGTTGTACCTCTCCTGATGCCTCATCCACTAGGGAAATCTGAGTCGGACTCTCCAGCTCTAATGGCACCTAAATTAATTTTTCATCAGGAGAGATGATGACAGAAATTCAATGTACAAGAAACAACTTTCAGTTTCACTGCAAACAGCTTAGCATTACCAAAACACAATGAAACCACTGGATTCAGTGTGAATGAGGGTAACAAACCTACAATGTACTCTTCCCAGAAGGCGTACTTCGGGTTGCTCAGCAGAAGCTCTTTGGTCACAAAGGAACAGTAAAGTCTGACTGTATGACTGTAACCAGGAGAGGGCACAAGACATACACATTTACTTTTCTGTTACAGTATGTAGTTAAATTTAATAATAAGGATAATCACCTTTATTTGGCCAAGTATGTTACACACAAGGAATTTGTTTCCGGTACAGAATCGAGGCAAAAGTTAATCAAATTGCACATAATGCCAGGGTTAACAACGACCACCACCAGTGCTGTTGACCTACAGGGTGCTGGTGGAAATTGGACTACTGTTGGTCGAAGAAGGAGAGGAGGTAGAAGGATTCGTAGACAGAAAAAGAAGAGGACAGGCAGGAGTATAGGTCTGAGAATAGGGACTCTTTACATTGGGACAAAGACAGGGAAAGGTAGAGAGCTGGCAGACATGATGGAGAGAAGGAAGGTAGATATACGGTGTGTGCAGGAGACCAGGTGGAAGGGTAGCAAAGCACGTAGCATTGGAGGGGGATACAAACCGTTTTATTATGGTGTGGACAGGAAGAGAAATGGGGTGGGAGTGATCCTGAAGGAGGAGCTCGTGAGGAATGTTTTAGAGGTTCAAAAGAGTGTCAGACAGGGTGATCAGTTTGAAGTTGGAAATTGAAGGGGTAATGTTGAATGTAGTCAGTGGTTATGCTCCACAAGTAGGGTGTGAGTTAGAAGAGAAGGAGAGATTCTGGAGTGAGTTAGATGAGGTGATGGAGAGTATTCCCAGAGGGGAGAGAGTGGTGATTGGGGCAGACTTCAACGGGCACGTTGGTGAGGGGAACAAAGGTGATGAAGAGGTGATGGTCAGGTTTGGTGTTAAGGGAAGGAACCTAGAAGGACAGATGGTGGTGGACTTTGCTAAGAGGATGGAAATGGCTGTA